TCTAATAAATCATTTTCTTCACAAAAAAAATAAATAAAAAATAAAATAAAATGAAAACATTTAAAAAAAGAAGAAGAAGAACATAGATAGCATTGGCATCCTACGGCAAAAAAAAAGTACTACTAATACTATCAACATTCCTCCATGATGATAAGACTGGCAGTGAAGCCGGACAGGGTGATGTACACCTGTAATCCCAGCACTCAGGAGACCGAGGCAGGAGGATCTTATGAGTTCAAGATCAGGCCACGTGCACAGTGAGTTCAAGGCTGGCCTGAACTACATAGCAAGACCTAGTCTCAAAAAATAAAATAAAATAAAGGTAGCGAATCCTCAATAGAAACAAAGCCAGAAATGGTCCCATTTTATAACACAACAAAGGAAGCACAGATGTTAGTGAGTTATGTATCAACTATAACGTCACTCAAGACACAAAGCATTGGTCAATGGTTGTGTTTTACTCTATCCTAAACATGTCAGACATAAATAATTTCATTGTTTACAAGGAAAATAACAAGCACAAATATCACAGAAAAAATTTCTTAGAGGATTGCGCCTGGAATTGATAAATGATCAATTACAACAGAGGAAGAGCAGTATGTTTCTGCCCAAAGAACTCCAGAAAAGAATTCTGGAGCAGACAGCCAAACAGACAGGTGCAGCACCACAAGAACCTCCCAAGAGAGCAGGAAGACCAGCAAGATGTTGAGCACGGCCTACCAAAGAAGACAGGAAAACAACACACATGTGCTACCCGTGTAAGCAATATTTGTGTATGGAACATGCTATTCTCATGTGTGAAAACTGCCTTAGGGGAGGTTATTGAAGTAAAGATTAGTCTTGTGGTAGAGCTTTACTTCAATTTTCATTGTAGTTCCCTGAAGAACTTATTTCTCTTGTTATTTTTTAGACTTACTTATTTTTATTTTTTAATATTTATTTATTTATTTGGTACAGGGTCTCACTATGCAGCTCGGACTCATAGTGATCCTCCTGTCTCAGCCTCCCCAGCACTGGGATTACAGGCATGTGCCACCAACCCTGGACTCAGTGGCCAGTTCAGCATGCCTAGGGGCAGCGCCAGCACCGCATGTGGTACTAAGGATCAAATCCATGTCCTTGCACTTGCCAAGAAGGCACGTAGGCTGCTGAGCTGTCTCTCCAGCCCTATTTTTTAGATTTAGTAAGCAAAGAGTTGATGGAGAAAATGTTTCTTTTTATTTATTTATTTATTTATTTATTTTTGGCAGAACCGGGGATTGAACTCAGACCCTTGTGTTTGCTGGGGAAGCACTTATTCTACTGAGCCATCACCCTAGTCCCCAAAATGTTGAGTTTATTCTAAACAGTTGTTACATATTTGATATTTTACTTTATTGTGTTGTATTTTCCTGAAAAGTTCGCATTGTATAGTACAGCAGGAAACTCTGACAAAAGAAGAAAAGAGAGGTGACAAATAGGGCCTGCCAAACAGGAAAGGAAAGCTAAGCACATGTACTATCAATGAAAGTGAGATTTCTCTATGGAACATGCTTTATCATGTGTGAAGGATGCCTTAGGTGTGATAATTGAACCAAATATTATTTCTGTGATAGGGGATTATTTACGTTCTCATTGTAGATTACATAGAAATTTATTTCTTCTGTTATTTATTAGATTTTATAAGGAAGTTGAAAATGCTGATATTTATTCATCACATATTTGATATTCATTACATATTATGTTACATATTTGGTATTTTATTATACCCATTACATGTTTGAATTTGTTGAAACACTGTCTTGCTATGAAGTGCAGGCTGGCTTTCAGCTTACTTTGTAGCCTATGCTGGTCTCGAACTCACAGTGATCCTCCTGCCTCAACTTCCCTCCTGAGTGCTGGGATTACAGGCACGTGCCACCAGGCCCAGGCTTGATATTTTATTTTGTGAGATTTTATTTTCTTTCTTTTTTTTTTTTTTTTTTT